TGCTTTAGGATACACAATGTTTTTGTCGAAGTCGAAAACATATACGGAAGCTATATCCAAACTTCTTGAAAATATTTGTTATGAAAGAACACACCAGCCTAGACTTGGGAGTCCTCGAAAATAATTTACTTTTACTTGAGAAATATTAAAAAAAAAACAGATCTTTTGTATGGTACCCCTTTAAAATATTTTTTTCTCGGCTAGAAATTCTTGATAAGTTTTTTGTTTAAATCAACGATTCTAACTGAAGGCCTATTCTTGTACTGGAAGTCATTTTAAAAATATAACTATCAATAATATAAAGTCATTTTAGTCTTTTATTTAAAATTCCTACTTTCTTAGTCAGGAAGTTCTCTGAAATTATTTCGACATTTTTTAATGATTTTGAAAATTTACCTACTTTTGCCATCAAATCCCTAAAAAATCCCTAGTTTTTGACATAAAATATATGGATTGCTTGTCGTTAGATCCTAATTTTTTTTAAATTATCAATAATTTTTAACTTAGAATATATACAAAAAAATAAAATAAAAAATAATGATTTTGGTCCTTTATTTTTTGACACATGTTTTTGGAAAAACCACCCTATTGGCATTCCTTGATTTACATTTTTATACCCTACAACACTATGTGTTGGGGGTATTATAAGTTTGATTGGGCCAAAAATTATGTAACACCTCGAAATATTGATTTCCCACATAGGAAAGTATATATGGATCTTCCTAGCTCGCCGAGCTGAGTCGATCTAGCTATGTATGTCCGTCCGTCCGTCTGTCCGTCTGTCCATGTTAATTTGTAATCACTCTACAGGTCGCAATTTTGGCCCGATTCTAACGATATTTTGCACGAAGGTGGGGTTATGGTCAGAATAGAAGCCTATTTATTTTGGAGATGATCGCCAAATGTTTAGGGGTTGAAATAGACCAAATACTGAAAAAATGTCTGATTTTGCAGTAGCTATACAGGTCGCAATTATAGACCAATCGACGCGGAATTTCGCATGTAGCTAGAGTTTAGGTCGGGGAAGAAGCCTACCAAGATCGGATAATATTTAGCGGGTAAAACAGGCCATATTTTTTTGTGTTGAAAAAATTCAAATTTTTTCATTAAACCGCGAATATTTTAAATCCCGGCGAAATCTCAAACCCATGACAAGGTTACTTCTGATCTTTACATTGATGTTAACATCGAACAAATCGATATATAGCAAAATATGTGCGATATATATATCTATCTAAGAAGATATGCTTGAAAAATCTCTTATATGTCGAGAACGGCTGAACTGATTTCGACAGTTCTCATTAATTCAGAATGGCCTATTGGAAGGAAAGAAAAAACGTCTAAAAAATCGCATAAAAATATCTCTCTAAAGATGAAAATATTGATTTTTTCAATTTTGTCATATTTTTTCAATTTTATCATATTTTTGGCATATTTTCATTTTGAATTAAACATTTGGTAATATTTCTACAGCTAACATAACTAAGTAGTTAGGATATCAGGATATCATATACAGATCGCATTTATGGCCCGATCCTTACGAAATTTTGCATGGGTTTAAGATGAGGGTCAGAATAGAAGCCTACTCTTTTTGGAGATAATTGTCATATATATAGGGGTTGAAATGGACCAAAAAACTGCAAAATTGTCAGCAGGTCGTAATTATCGCACGACCCTCACGCACATTTGAATGGGGGTTACCGGACATTGCAAAAGCCAAGCAATTTTGGATGGCCATCCAAAAATATTCAATGTGCGAAATAGTTTGCCAACTTTTGTAGACAAAATACGAAAATGTCCATTCCAGTGACTCTTTGGAGAATTCACAAATACAGGAAAGACGCACTTCTGACTATTTCGTTAACGCTGATCAAATGTCAAATGTCTGTATCTCATATAGATGCGTTTCAGTCAAAAACCACTTCTGAGAGATTATAGGTCTTTGGGAAATATTGGTTCCAGATCTAGGAAGACCATTTACGTGCAACATCTACCAATAAATTGGAAATGAGCAAATTAGTTTAAGTTGCTATTATTCGAAAATTAGAGAACGAAACCTGATGGTTTTCTTTTATAATTTGTCACAATATCTTGTGGAATTCTTTCGAGTATCTCGCCTATATAAACAGTATTGTTTATTATAGTGTTGTAGGGTATTCAACGGTCGGGCCCGCTCGACTGTAGCCTTTGCTTACTTGTTTTAACATAAAATCAATGATTTACTAGGCAGAAAGTATTTGAGATACAACTGACACCCGATTTTAGTTCATGATTTTTTTTGTTTTTGTTTTTGAAAACAAGAAGTGTTCAAAATCCCTTATTTTATGGAGAGTATATTAACTTTGTCATTCCGTTTGTAACTCCTCGAAATACTCATGATAGACCCTACAGAGCATAGGTATTCTGCATTAGCACAAACTTTGACAATAGGAGCGACATTATTCAAATTTAGAATTGAAGTTTAGAAACGGTATTACACCCTATGATAAAAAATGCTTATGCAGATTCTCGTAATATATTTATTTTCATTTAAGCTGCATTTTTCGACTGTTTTTTTTTCTTTTTTTTTAATTTTTCAAGCTCATTCCAAATGGTAAAGGAAGTCTTTAAAATTTTTTTATCTAGTTTATTTCATTTAAAATTCTTGGGATTTTGGCCAGGACGTCCTTTGAAAACTGAAATAAAATATACACAATTTGTTTGAACGGAAGTAAAATCACGGTATTACCCCTATGATAAAAAATGCTTATGCAGATCCTCGTAATATATTGATTTTCATTTAAGCTGCATTTTTCGACTGTTTTTTTTTTTCTTTTTTTTTTAATTTTTCAAGATCCTTCCAAATGGTAAAGGAAGTCTTTAAAATTTTTTTATCTAGTTTATTGTATTTAAAATTCTTGGGATTTTGGCCAGGACGTCCTTTGAAAACAGATCTTAAAATATACACAATTTGTTTGAACGGAAGTAAAATCACGTTTTACGTCCATAAAGATTTTGTAAGATCATTATTTTTTAATTCCATAATATTTTCCCAGGCTGTTATTAATTTTTTTTTCTTAACTGATTTAGTTTTTTGTCAAGGAAGACTTCATTCTTTTAATAAGATTCTTAGGCAGAAATTCATTGGACCTCTTTAAATCTGTACTTCTGAAAATTATTGATGTTTTGTTCAACTCATAAAATTTTAAAAGAAATCATCGTTTTCACCGCGATGTCTTAGATTTTTTAAAATTCACAATTCATGATCAAGAGGTCCTTGAAAGTATTTATTACATTTTCACCATCATTAGCCTGAAACCGCTTCAAAATACTTTTTATGACGAAAACACTATTCTTGACTAGGGAGACCAGGACAATTTTTTAAAAAAATTTCGATCCTTGGGAACTTTCTTATATCCAATATTCCTGATCACGAAAAATTTAATGGTATTTCTTTAAGTTTACGATTTCTGGACTCATGACCTCGAGGTCATATAAGAATATTCTAAAAAAATGTCATTTTAAAATATTTTAAAAAATATCATAATATTAAAAAAAAAACCTTGTTTTTTAATCAACGATTCTTTTGCTAAAAGACATTGTAAAAACATAATTGAAAGAGATTTTACTTTTTTATTCACTCTTCTTGGTCAGGAAGTCCTTGTCCCTTTGTTGTTTTTTTATAAAAAATTTACTGATTTTTTACAGAAAGCAATCTTTAGGAAAATGATTTTTAAAAACACCGCTCTTTTTTGCCAGATTGTTTTCAAAAATATTTTTAAGAAATCCTAACTTCTTCTCCGGAATTTCTGAAAATATTTTTTAAAATCCACGCTTCAGGGCCAGGAAGCTAGACAAAAAGATATTTAAAAGAAAAAAATTCAAGCTTCTATACCAGGATAATAGGCAAAAAGTCGTCATAAACCTTTTTTTAAAAAAATCAACGCTTCTGAAGCAGGAAGACATTTAGGAAGTCATCAAAAACAATTTTTAAAAATCCACCCTTTTTGGCCAATAAGTAAGCTTGGAAGTCACCGAAAAATAGTTTTTAAAGTATATACTTTTAGGCCTGGAAAAAATATTATTAAGAAATTCACAATTTCTATCCAGGGAAACTGGTACAGGAATTCATTAGAATTAAAAAGAAAACACTATCGTTGACTTTTTAGGGATATTCATTTAAAAGTCCACCATCCTTAGCCAGGAACTAAAAAAATCACGATTTCTGTTTAAAAATATATTTCTTAAAAAATTATGATTCTCAGTCAGGAAGTCCTTGAAAACATTGTTTCAAAACTTACCATTTTTTTGGTATAAAGTTTTTGAAAAAAAGACAATTTCATTCACATTCACAGTTCCACTAAAAATTATTCGAAATTCTACTAAAAATTAGACTTTGTTCGAAGATGGGACATGTTGGCCCGCTGTTTCTGTTCTTTTAACACTTCTGCAACAATTTTTTGTTTTTTTTTTCAGAAATTATACCGTTTACTTTGACAATATTGCATGTTTCGAACTTCATACCAATTGCATTGGCTTGATTTTGATTTACCCCTGAAATGGAGTTCAATGAATTCAATGACACTTACCAGGTCAAAAGAAAATGATTCCCAGAAAATATGAAAGTATCAAATTTCATTGTAAAATTAAACGACAGAATTTTTAATGGGTTAAGGTCGTTATTTATATTCTTCGATGTTTACATAAACTTGAAATCTATTGGAACACTCAACTTAGACTACAATTTGATTGCTACAAATATATATACGTGTGTGTGTGTAACGCACAAATTTAACTCGACAAAAAAGCCGATAAGACGGCCATTGATGCTGTCTAGACTTTTGGAATGACATTAAAAATAAAAAAATCGTCGTCTCTAGATATAGATACGACTTTACAATAATGGACATAATGTCATTTACAAAGGAAGATAATTGGCGTTGTATCTAAATTAACGATAACGACATAGAAATGGCTAAACGAATATTTTAACTCGAATTTTTAGAAAATACACAAATATGTCTAGCGACTGTGAAAAATTAATAACAAGTTTATTAAATTCACTTATATAAAAGTCTTGTTTGAAAAAATCGATCAGTAAAGACAAATTTGGGTCGGCATGTTATAAACCTTACTCATATAGTTGGTTTGGGTATAAATATGGCAACGTGACATATTCTGAATCCAGAAATAATTATTCCATGTAAAATACACAAAATGTTAGAAAAAGTAACCATTTCAGGCGAGGCTCGACCCACAGTCATCTATTGCCATGTTTGAATGGGTTCTGGAATTCTAGAAACTTTTAATGGAACATTTTATTTCATTTTTCCAAATGGAGTTTCGTTAAGCTGTTCCTTTTAGCACCACTGGTTCATTTTAGTGTGATTAATGATGATGATATGTGGATGTTCAGCATCTTGTACTATATTGTTCAGGAAACCTACGAGGAAAAGTGAAGAATTAAAGAGATGATGATACAGTATTTATTAATTTTTACTATAAGTTTTGAATATTTTCATCTTATCATATTAATTGTAAATGGGATTATTTAAAGGGACATAGGTAATATTTAAAAAAAAATTAAACCAAAATAAAAAACAGTATAGAAAGGCCAAAAGTCGTGCGGGACCGACTTTATGATACCCTACACCACTTTGCAAATTTACACATACACATAACAATTAAAAGTTTTTATGGGAGAATTCAATCATACACGCCATGATTATAATTATAATTTAAAGTTCAAAGGACTAAATTTGCCGAAGCATTTGTATGTTTTAAATTCGGACTTGTATTCCCCATTTGGTGCAAAATTAATTTGAAATCATATAAAGATATATATGGGAGCTATATCCAAATCTGAACCGATCTCGATAAGATTTGGCAAATATATTACTGAGCTGTATTTGATATATTTCCCTGAATATCGTTGTTACGGAGTGCATATCACGGCTGTGGGTAACAAATACAACAAATCGGAAAAATATATGTGGGAGCTATAGCTATATCTGAACCAAATTTGGCATACTAGCTTCTAGACTCAATTCGGTCGTATGTCCCAAATTCCATCCTATTTGGGCAAATAGTAGACATTTGGTACACAATAAAAGTAAATCGGACGAAGTTATATATGGGAGCTATATCCAAATCTGAACCGATCTCGATAAAATTTAGCAAAGGTATTTCTGAGCTGCATTTGCTATATTTCCTCAAATACTGTTGTTACAGAGTGCATATTACAGCTGCGGAGGACAAAAATAGCAAATCGGATGAACAATATATATGGGAGCAATAGCTATATCTGAACCGATTTCGATCAAATTTGGCATACTTAATTTCAGGCTTAATTTGGTTGTATGTTCCAAATTCCATACTATTCGGGCTGATATTACACGATTGGTGCACAATAAAAGGCAAATCGGTCGAAGATATATATGGGAGCTATATCTAAAATTTTTCCGAGTATCTCCAATTTCAATAGGGTTCGTTCTTGGGCCAAACAAATGTTGTTTGGAAAATTTCATCTCAATCGGATAATAAATGCGACCTGCATTTTGTTCACAAGAATACATGGACAGACGGATGGACGGACGGACTGACATGCATAAAGTGATTCTATGGAGATCCTCAAAAGGAACTGTGGGTCTATCTCGTTTCCTTTTGCCTGTTACAAACAAATGCACAAAGACATAATACCCTGACCACCTTGTGGAGTAGGGTATAAAAACAGTTAAGAAAGACTAAAAGTCGGGCGGCTATATAACACCCTACACCACTATGCATATTTATTATAGCAACCCGTAATAAACTATGAACCTTTTTTGAATGAGTATTATAGCTTCAGAGCAGTTATAATTAGAAATCAACAGGAATTAATATATTGGAAGTATTTCCAACACTGAGTCAATTTCTGCCATATTTGACGGAAGCATTTGTAAAAGCAACTCATTTTTTCAACAACAGAATCCAATTGTGATATCCATATCAAATTTCAGGATATAAGCATTATACCAATATCAAATATCAAATTCAGTGGTACTCAGTTCTTTTCGTATATTTCTTCAGATTTTCATACCTATCCATAGACTGAATTCAGTACTTTTCGTGCAATTATGGTACACATTTCAGACATACCTCCATATGTCCAAGTTACACATGAACAGCGACGCTAATATCAAATTTCCAGATGCCAACAGAGACCTCAATATCAAATTTTCGGATTTTAGCCCTATTCCTTCATCCAATACCAAATCTAGTATCATTTTGTACTTTTTGTGCAAATGCGAAATTTCAAACAAAGATACCATCAGTAATTTAATTTTAGACTTTTATCCGTATCCCTATACCCAATATGAAGTATGACACCATTCAGAACTTTTCGTACAATTATAGTGCACATTTCCGAAACGTCCTCCATATGTCCACGTTACGCATGTACAGCAACCCCAATGCCAAATTTCAAATTGTTATCACTATCTATCCACCCAATATTAAATTGTACCATATATAGTACTATTTAGTACTTTCCGTACACTTGTAGTACACATTTCCAAAACAACTTCTCTATCACAAACCAGCAACCAACATTTTAAATTACCAGCTTCTTCTGTTCACCCTAAACTAAGCTGTTCTAACAGTTCACACACTAAGTACACATTTCCAAAATCACCCTCTTATATAGAACTCACTTTCCAATGTTGATACTCATAACAAATGTCAAGTTTTTTAGCTCTATCATGGTACGATTTTAGAAGTCTTGTACCATTTAAGAATATTTCGTATCTTTAGAATTTGAATTTCCAAAAACCCTTTGGTACGTCTATCCTGCAAATCCATCAGCGACTCTAGATCTAAATTTCAAAAATCTAGCTCATTCCGTTTGTTCAATACAAAGTACAGGGTTGCCCATATTCGACGGACCCATCTGGCAACGCCATAACTTTTGACAGAGATGTCACATCGCTTAATGACATACCGCGTTTGAAGCGTCAGTCCAAGCAGATTTTTACCATGAACCAATACACGCCACGCGAGCGCTCTGAAATAGTTGAAATTTACATTCAACAGAAGAAGTCAATTGTGAAAACTCAACGTGTTTTTAAAACATTAAAAAATGTGAGAAGTGCGCCTTCTAAGAACACCATTAAGCGTTTATACGCAACATTTTCGACTGGTAAGGCTCTTTCTAATCCGAAGAGGCCATATAAAAGTCGACCAAGGCGATCGGCCGAGAATATCGCTGCCGTACGAGCCAGTGTTTAGAGGTCACCAAGAACATCCCAAAAACGCCGTTCTCAGCATTTGGGCACTTTACACCGGATTATTCGCATTGATTTGCATTTGTTCCCGTTCAAAATTCAATTGACGCAAAGAAAGTTGCCTGCGAACAAGCCTCGTCGATTGGAATGGGCCCAAAGAGTCATCGAAAAAAACATGGGTCCGTCGAATATGTGCAACTCTGTATTAGGTTTTCAATACAGTTTAGTATCTTTTTTGAACGATTTTCCAAAACCCAGACTTATCACACCAAGATTAGCTCTAATGCAATTTTCTACCTTCAGCCGTTTTGTCTGGGCGTTTATAGTTGACCAGTCAGTTATTTTTAGAGGGAGTGGATGAATATTGTCCACATTTACCAAAAAAAAAAAAATGGGTACTTCAAGCATTATTTCGATGTTGCACATTTTTCTCATATTAAATGATATGTACCTCGGTAGCCATAAAGCTCTCTAACAAAAAAAATCAATATCCCTAAACAAAACCTAAAGCGTTTACCTGCATTCAAAAAACTTTCACATTTAACATTTTAAAAACAATTGCTGACTTTACAATATTTTATGTTCTCTCTACCATTAATCCGATGCAATGCCATTGGCAAAAATTCCCACATTGATATCCTTGTGACCTGGTTATGTGATTGACATATGAGAACAATGTTGCTTCATTTTGAGGTTATTTGGTATGGATTGAAGGAGAATAGGAATTGAAGAATTCTGTCTTTGATTATTTCTGTTTGGAATGATGTAAATTTAGGTATTTTATGTGATACCATTTTGATGGCATATTCTTTGCAAAATACAGGTATCCAATATAATTGCTAGTTTGTTGACAGAGAAATTCTTTGAACAAAAATGTCTTCATTTTTGATGATGTATTTGTGGAAACATATCAAATGCCAATTAGAGATACCTGCGTGTGTGTATTGAGTGCTAATTGTAGCAAATTAACACATTTGCCCATTGAGGTAGTGTAAATACACACGCCATTAGAGAGAGACAATTTGCAGAAGCATTCGAAATTTCTCTATCGTGATTGGTTGCATCGTGCCTCCCTCACAAATGTTCAAAATTTAGCGTAAAAATAACTTTTTTTCAACAAATTTTTAAGAAAAAAAATTAAATAATTTTGAAGCACCATCCAAACCAGAATTTTCAACTTTTAATTCGGATGCTTTAAAAACTATATTTTTCCAAAGACTATTCAACAACATGAATCCTCCCTAATTTATCTAAATACCAATTAAATTCTCTTATTTTTTCTCAGCACAACATTTAATTCATACATCAGCAAATGTGATGACTTGATATTTGTTGACCTTATTCTTCCCGATGTGAAAACTCAAGTATTCCGGTCAACAACAACAACAACTACAAATTTGATCTGTTATCTTAGCTTAAGTCAGTTTATTTGGATTTTATTTTTGATAGCATAATCTGCAACAATAGTTCTGTGTGTGTTTGTTCCTTACCCCAGAAATTGACAATGACATAGTTATGTCAATACAAACGTAATCCAATAAGGTAATCTGATTACTCAGAGTATTTGCCACAAACTCGAAAATAGGAAAATCAATAAGAACAATAAGGTCACAAAGAAAAACCGATTAAATGACCGTTGTTTGTATTGAATGGGATATAAAATCGAAACAAATACCCAATTATTTTTAGTGGGTTTTACAGTGGTTTTTACCCAAAATTCAGGTGCTCAGCTAGAAGCAAGACGTTTTTGGGAAAGCGTTTGTTTAAAAATGTGCTTGGATATCACTTCTACGAACATAATTTTCAAAATTATTGTACCCTACACTAAAGGTATTACGTCTTTCTTATTATTTAGATATAGCTCCCATATATCTTGAACCGATTTCGGTTAATTGTGCACCAAATGGTCAATATAAGTCCAAGTGACCTGAATTTTGGTACATCTCACCGAATTCAGCCTAGAAGCAAGTACGTTTCAGATATAGCTATAGCTCCCATATATATGTTTCATCCAATATGGGGTTTTAAGTCCCTCACATGCGTAATATGCACTCCACAAGAATGATATTTGCTACCGGACATCAGATACTGCTCAAAAATACCTCTCTGTCAAATTTTATCGAGATCGGTTCAGATTAGGATATACAGGGTTGCCCATATTCGACGGACCCATTTGGCAACG